GGTGTTGTATAAATGACAGCTTCCACATATTAGGCACAGTATGCAAGTCTAAGAAAAAAAAAATTGTTAAGGGGTGAGGTAACATACACATATTCAAATCATTAACCCATTTAAAATTATATGTGTCTATAACATCATTATTTACACCTCTCGAGTCCCGCCACATCATGTTGTTTAGACCTTGTCAAGCACTCCTTACATCTTTATTTGCTAATCAGTCCTCTACCTTACATTTAAAATCAATTATTGCTTTTTGTATCATAGCTCTCAATTCCTTTTTGTTCATCTTAAAACCCCCTAATTGTTTTCATTAAGGTGTTTCTTAAAAACTTTAGGGAACCACAGCAAAAATTGTTATTGACCATTTTAGTGTCAATTACTGTCTCTTCACAAAATTGAATATAAGAAGTGATACAGTCCGTTAATCATAAGTATCTCTGCATGAGTCAAAGAAAACATCATAATTTGTGGTGTAAAAATAACCCTTTAAGACTTTATTCTTGCCACAAACCTTGTTTTTCTTTTCCACAGTTTTCTCCCTTCTAACAAACTGTCTGTATTTTGGCAGTAAATGGATAACATTATGATCAAATCTACCAACGGGTACTCTACATATCTACATATTACCCTACATGCATCCTCGATGTTATCGTAACACAGATTCTGTGTGCATGAGAAATGGGTTGGGCAATTAATTGCTTCAGGTTTGGAAGAGTCTCTGTTAATGAAAGAGTATTAAAGTCCCCCAGATGAAGACTGGTTGATCTGCCGTCTATGTCAAGATCCTAGAAAAGCACTCTGCAATGTGCATTTTCATTTAGCCACATTTCCGTAAAACAAATGAGATTACTGCACCTAAATTCCTCCTCTCATTTAACGGGGAGTGCAAATTCATCTTCATCTTGTTACTAAGAATATCCCATATTTATATATATATATATATATATATATATATATATATATATATATATATTATTTCTCATATAGTTTGTTTGAGTGAGTTCTG